TTAAATACCAACAGATTAAACTTTCTATCTACCTCTCTCATAAACTTTCTTTTTCCTCTCTGTTTCTCTCTCTCTCTCTCTCTCTCTCTCTCTCTCTCTCTCTCTCTCTCTCTCTCTCTCTCTCTCATACATACACCAACACACACACACACACACACACACACACACACACACACACACACACTTGTATGAATACCAAAATTCACTCCTGGTACTCACCTCTTGTCTCAGGCAGAAGTTAATTTTGAGTTGCTTTAATTAGACTGCTCCCAGAGCATTCTCATGGTTTTCTATCTAATCTATACTAATAAAAGGGTAATATGCTAATTAGATCAGGAGACCGGACATCTTCCTACCATCTGACTTCCTTCTGGACAAAGCCACAGTGGTGAGGGCCAAGGCAGAGGTGGTTAAGGATGATCAGGCCAGCAGGGAAGGGCAGTTGAAGGATATCAGGTGGGCAGGGGAGGGCAATTGGGAGCCATCAGGCTGACAGGGGAAGGCAGTTGGGGGCCATGAGGCTAGCAAGGGAGCAGTTAGGCAGCAATCAAGCTGGCAGGCAGGCAGGTGGTTAGGAGCCAGCAGTCCCGGATTGTGAGAGGAGTGTCCAACTGCTGGGATGGGGCCCAAACCAGCAGTTGACCTCCCCCGAGGAGTCCTGGATTGGAGAGGGTGCAGATTAGGCTAAGGTACCACCTCCCATGCATGAATTTTGTGCATCAGGCCTCTAGTTTCATATAAAGAGGTGTTTTTTGTTTTGTTTTGTTTTGTTTTAACTAATTACTTTCTATTATTTTCTCTTGAATCTTTTACTTTATCAACAGATGTCAGGCAACTATGAGGTCTTCGGGAATTTATAGAAAGATTCCAAGCTTATCACTTATTCGTCTTCATCTAGATTTGTTTTTAAGTGAAGACACCTTAGGTAAACAGACACTTTCTTTATAAAATACTAGAGGCCGGATGCATATAATTTGTGCAAGTGTAGGCCCTCATAGCTCTGGCTGTCTCACAGGACCACTCCCCACCCACTGGTCATTCCAGAAGGTCTAATTATCATATTGTTTTTTTATTATATAGGATACTAATCAAATCCCAGATTTAGTGGTTAACTTTCTGTTACCTAATTTCTAGCAACAGGTGCCTGTATATTTTATTTAGAAAGTATAAATATTTCTCTTCTTTACATCCAGCGCAGCTAGAAAGTGGTCTGGTTCCTGAGTAGGGAAGAGAGGAGATTGAGAAAATGAAAGAGACATACACAAATACAGAAATAAAGCTGGGACTGGATGGGACCACTGTCCTCTGATGGAGAGACAGGGACTCAGAGCCAATTCTGTGCATTTATTTTATACAGCAATAACCAGGAAGTTTTACTAAAGCCCAAGACAAAGGAGATTATGTGCATTCTTGTGGACTCTTTGCAATCGTCACTTCTGGGTGGGATCGGATAATCACGTTTGTTCCTTGTTGAACTCCCCAAGCTTCACCAATCTTTTGGTAAAACTCTTGTAATTATTACATGCTGGAACTGGTACTCGTCAATTGGTGGCTTAATGTATGGTCCATATAGGAACCATATTTGGCAGGTGTTATGGGTTGTTCAATGTATAGTTTCTATAGGGTACATGGTTAGTCACTCAGGTATTTCCCGGCAGCAGGTTACATCGTACTCCACCCACCAGTTGGGGGAAAAGAGGATCTATCACCTCCCATCTTCCTTTCCCCCCATTTTTTAAGGTATTATATGTGTGTCTTGCCATTGCACCCCCAACCCAATCCCATACATGTCCTCACCTCCAGTGTTTTGCGTCCATTGGTTATGCTTATATACATGCATACAAGTCCTTTGGTTGACCTCTTATCTTTCCCACACCTCCGTAATCTTCCCGCTGTAATTTGAGTCTGTTTGATGCTTTACTGCCTCTGTATCTATCTTTTTGTTCAACAGTTTATAATGTTCTTTATTATCCACAAATTAGTGAGATCATTTGGTATTTTTCTTTCATTGACTGGCTTATTTCACTTAGCATAAGCTCTCCAGTTCCATCCAGGTTGCTGCAAATGGTAAGAATTCCTTCTTTTTTATGGCAGCATAGTATTCCACTGTGTAGATGTGCCATAGTTGTCTGATCCAGTCATTTGCTGACGGTTACCTAGGCTGTTTCCAAATCTTAGCTATTGTAAATTGTGCTGCTATGAACATAGGGTGCATATATCCTTTCTGATTTGTGTTTCTAGTTTCTTAGGAAATATTCCCAGGAATGGGATTAGTGGGTCGAATGGAAGTTCCATTTTCAGTTTTTTGAGGAAACTCCATACTGTTCTCCACACTGGCTGCACCATTCTGCATTCCCACCAGCAGCGCACAAAGGTTCCTTTTTTTTCCACATCACCAGCACTTGTTGTTTATTGATTTGTTAATAATAGACATTCTGACACATCTGAGATGGTACCGCATTGTTTTGATTTGTATCTCTTGGATAATTAATGACTTTGAGCGTGTTTTCATGTGCCTTTTGGCCTTCCTTTTGTCTTCTTTTGAAAAGATTCTATTTAGGTCTGTTGCCCATTTTTTTTTTATTGGATCATTTATTTACCTTTTATTAAGTTGTATAAAAGCTATATATGATAATCCCACAGCTAACATACTCAAAGGGCAAAAACTGAAACAATTTCCCCAAGAACAGGAACAAGACAGGGATGCCCACTCTCATCACTCCTGTTTGACATAGTACTGAAGCATTAGCCATTGTGATTAGACAAGAAGAAGAAATAAATGACTATGTGATTTTTATCCCTCAATTTGTTTATGTGATGTGTCACGTTTATTGATTTTCAGATATTCCATCCTTGCATTCCTGGCATAAATGCTACTTGATCATGTATGATCTTTCTAATATACTGCTGGATCTGATTTACTAGAATTTTGTTGAGGATTTTGGCATCTATGTTCATGAGGGATACTGACCTATAATTCTCTTTCATTGTGTTATCTTTATCTGGTTTTTGTATTAGGGTGATGCTGGCTTCATAGAATGAGCTTGGAAGTGTTCCTTCCTCTTAAACTTTTTGGAATAGTATGAGGAGGATAGGTTTTAGGCCTTCCTTGAATGTTTAGTAAAACTCTCCTGTGAAGCCATCTGGCCCCAGGCTTTTGTTTGCTGTAAGCTGTTTAATGACTGCTTCAATTTATTCCATAGTTATTGGCCTATTGAGATGTTCAGATTCTTCCTGATTGAGTTTTTGAAGGTTGTATTTTTCTAGGAAAATATACATTTCCTCCAGATTGTCTAGTTTATTGGAATAGAGTTGTTCATAGTATTTTTTAACAATCCTTTGTATTTCTGTGGGCTCTGTTGTTATTTCACCTCTTTCATTTCTGATTTTGTTTATTTGGGTCATCTCTCTTTGCTTCTTGGTAAGCCTGGCAGAGGTTCATCAATCTTGTTTATCCTTTAAAAAAAAAATAGCTCTTGGTTTTGTTGATCTTTTGTATTGTTTCTTTGTTCACTATGTCACTTATCTTTGCTCTGATCTTTATTATTTCCTTTCTTCTGCTTACACTAGGCTTTTCTTGTTGCTCTCTTTCTAACTCTGAGTTGTAGGGTTAGTAATTTATTACCATTTTTCCTTGTTTTTTGCAGTAGGCTTGTAGAGCTATGAACTTCCCTTCAAGATTGCTTTCGCAGTGTCTCATAGATTTTGGGTTGTTGTGTTTTCATTGTCATTTGTTGCCATGATGTTTTTTTATTTCTTCCTTGATCTCTCTGGTAACCCAGTTATTGTTTAATAGCATACTGTTTAGCTCCATGTGTTTGATTTTTTTTGGTTGTTTTTAATGCAGTTGATTTCCAGTTTTATGCACTGTGATCTTAGAAGATGCTTGATATGATTTCTATCTTCTTGAATTTGAAGAAACTTTGCCTATGACCAACATATGGTCTATCTTTGAAAATGACCTATGTGCACTTGAGAAGAATGTATATTCTGTGGCTTTGAAGATGTCAATTAATGCTATCTGGTCTAATGAGTTATTTAGGATTGATGTTTCTTTGTTGATTTTTTTGTTTAGAGGATTTGTCCAATAGTGATAGTGGGATATGAAAGTTTCCTACTATGATTGTATTGCTGTCAATCTCTCCCTTGATATCCTCCAGGAGGTTTTTTGTTTGTTTGTTTGTTTTGTTTTTTAATGTATTTGGTACTCCTGTATTGGGTGCATATATGTTTGCCGGGGTTATTTCTTCTTGTTGAATTTCTCCCATTAGTATTATGAAGTAGCCTTTCTTATCTCTTGTAATGTCCTTCACTTTGAGATCTAATTTGTCAGATATAAGTATTGCTACCCCAGCTTTTTTTCATTTTCATTCTCCTGGTAAACCTCTTTTCATCCCTTCACCCTCAGTCTGCATGTGTCTTTTTTTTTCCTGAGGTGGGTTTCTTATAGACAGCAGACATAGGGTCTTGTTTTCTTATCCAATCCATTACTCTATGTCTTTTGATTGGGGCATTTAATCCATTTACATTTGAAGTTATTATTGATAGGTACTCATTTGTCACCATTTTTATTCTTTACCCCTGTGTTCCTTCTTCACTTCCTATTTCTCTTTCTTTCTTCCTTTTTTTTTTTTTTTTTTTTTTTTTTTTCCTGTGAAGCTCTTGATTTCACCTTCAGTTTTGATTGATAGCCTTACTGGGTACAACATTCTTAGATTCAGACCCTTCCTTTGCATGACTTTGTATATTTAATTCCATTCCCTTATGGCATGATGAGTTTCTGTTGAGAAATCAGTCACTAGTCTGATGGGGATTCCTTTGTATGTAACTTTCTGCCTCTCTCTGGCCACTTTTAAGATTCTTACTTTGTCGTTGGTGTTTGCCAATTTAATTATGATATGCCTTGGTGTCGGTCTTTTGGGGTTCATTTTGTTTGGGACTCTGTGAGCTTCTTGGATTTGTGTGAGTTTTTTCTTCCTATTAATATATTAGATAAGTTTTCAGTCATTATTTCTTCAAACAAGTTTTCTATTCTTTGCTCAGTTTCCTCTCCTTCTGGTACCCCTATTCTGCAAATGTTGTTTTGTTTCGTGTTGTCCCAAAATTCTCTTAGGCTCTCCCTTCTGCTTTTTATTTATTTTTCTAGAAGCTGCTCTACTTGGGTATTTTTTCCCACCTTGTCTTCTAGCTCACTGATTCTGTCCTCTGCTTCTTCTAGTCTACTCTTGATGCTTTCTATTCAGTTGTTTACAGCATTGATGTCAGTTTTCATGTCTTCTTGGTTCTTCATTTCCTCTTAGTTCTTATTCATGTTGTCTAATTTGTCTTCCATTCTTTTAAGCCACCTTATGACCATTTCTTTGAATTCTTCCTCTGGCAGGTTGCTTGCTTCCATTTTGTTTACTTCCTTTTCTGGTGATGCCAGCTTTTCTTTCATATTCAGGCTGTTTCTTTGTCTCCCGGTGGTCTCTCTTCTCCAGATGTCTGATTATGTAGTTCTCTCTCTCCTGTGTTGATTTAAAGGCACAAAATACAATGCAACCGGGTACCACACACAAGGCACTTGTCCCAGGGGAAATCTGACCCTTCTGTGGTGGAGTGTAGAGCTCCTCTGAATCCACGTGTTTGTGCCAATTGGGGACCAGTGTTCTCAGGTTTGCAGCTGTTTGGTGGGTGCCGTAGTGGTAGATTTTCAGGCTTCTGATAACATCCACTTTCTTCTTCAAGATGGCATGGTCTCTATATCTGAGCCGGTGGCTGTGGGAGGGAACCCAGCAGCAGTGGGGGCTACCTGGTCAGAGGAACCCTGTCCAGCAGTCCGCCACCTTCTCCTGGAGTATAGCTGTTCCTTAACTCGCCAACAAACTCTCCCTGTGCGACCTTCAGCTGTTCTTTCTATCTGCTCCAGAACAAGGCTCGTGACACATCTGTTTACTCTGTAGCCATTCCCCCCCCTAATTTTTAGAGAGAGAAACATTAGTTAGTTGCTCCACTTATTTATGCATTCATTAGTTGGTTCTTGTATGTGCTCTGAATGGGATAGAACCTTTAACCTTCACACATCTGGACAACACACCTACCAACTTTACTCACTTTTATTTGGTGACTGTTTTCTAGTCTGTGAAAGGCTTTGGAAACTAAAGGCTGTGTTACAAGAAGGAGAGCAGACTTGGAGATCACCTCTCATCTTCTTGAACTGGATCTTTTTGGTTAATGAATCTTTGCTTATTTCAAACTCTGAGATTTTAAATATTGGCCTTTTTTTTTTTTTTTCCTAGGTAGGATGAGCATCATAAATCATGAATTGTGCATGCAGAGAGCTGTCACATGTTCATGATAAAATCCCAGAAACAATATTGAAGTGCTTTCTGGCATGACTGAAAAGATTCAGAGCCCCTAGTGATCCTACTTGCTCTGTGAGGTCTGACTGAGACTAAGTGGGTAAGCATGGGGATTGGTAGTAGGCCTTCATTTCAAAGAGAAAAAGTTCAACATGCAAATACTAACAAGGCACCGCTTAGAAAGAAAAAATCTTATATGAAGTTCACTTAGTGTTAATCAAAGGACTCATTTTTTTAAATCTATTTTTATTTTTTTAAATTCTTTATTGTTGAAAGTATTACATATGTTTCCTTTCTTTCCCCATTGTGAAGGCTTAAAAAAATTTTTTTTTTTTTGGTATTTTTTCAGTTGAATTTATTGGGGTGACATTGGTTAACAAAACCATACAGTTTTCTTTTTATTATTATTATTATTAATTTTTTAAAATAAATCTTTATTGTTCATATTATTACAAATATTCTTCATTATTTTCCCATCCATTGTTCCCCTCCACCAGGTTCCCACCCCACCCTCTGCCCTTTCCCCACTCCCCATTGTCCTCATCCATAGGTGCACAGTTTTTGTTCAGACTCTTCCCGCACTCCCCACTCCCCTTTTCCCTGAGAATCGTCAGTTCACTCCCCTTCCATACCTCTGATTCTATTATATTCACCAGTTAATATTGTTCATCAGGTTTTTTAATTCCCTTGGCTTTTAGTTTCACTTGTTGATAGTTTCGTATTTGTTGATCATAATTTTTATCTATATCTTCTTCCTCTTCCTAAAGAACCCCTTTCAGCAATTTATATAATTCTGGTTTGGCGGTGATGAACTCCTTTAGCTTTTTTATTTTTATTTTTATTTTTTATTTGTGAAGCTCTTTATCTGGCCTTCGATTCTGAGTGATAGCTTTGCTGGGTAGAGTATTTTTGGCTGTAGGATCTTGCTATCCATCATCTTGAATATTTCTTGCCATTCCTGTCTGGCCTGCATAGTTTCTGTTGAGAAATCAACTGACAATCGTATGGGTACTCCTTTATAGGTAACTACCTGCTTTGCTCTTGCTGCTTTTAATATTCTCTCTTTGTCTTTTGCTCTTGGGATTTTAATTATGATGTGTCTTTGTGTGGTACTCTTTGGATTCCTTTTGTTTGAGGTTCTGTGCACTTCTTGGACTTGTAAGTCTAATTCTTTCACCAGGTGGGGAAGTTTTCTGTATTTTTTCAGTATCTTGCTCTCTCTCTTCTTCTAGGACCCCCATAATTCTGATGTTGGTTCGTTTGAAATTGTCCCAGAGTTTTCTTACACTATCTTCAACTTTCTGGATTCTCTTATCTTCTTGCTTCTGTGGAGGAGTGTCCTCTGGCTCTTTGTGTTCCAAATCTTTGACTTGATTCTTGCGATCTTCCATTCTGTTTTTAGGACTCTGTATAATTTTTTTTTTCAGACAATGTATTCTTTATTTCTAGTTGATCCCTTTTCATATCCTCATAGGTCTCATTTATTTTATCGGCCTTTTCTAAGAAACTCTTGAAAAACCTTATAAGCATGGTTTTGAACTCTATATCTAGTCGCTTCGTGTCCTCCTTTTCTTTTGTTTGTGATCTGTTTCCTTGTCTCGGCATTTTCACAACTTCCGAGTTGGTAGGGTGGCTTTGTGTGCTAAGGTGTCCTATATAGTTCAGTGAGTCAGCCTCCCAGTTACCTAAGGTGGACAGTCTTGGTGTAGCCCTTTGTGGGCTGTGTGTGCAGTCTTGTTGTTAAGCCTTGCTTGTTGTTGATATCACTGAGAAGCGTTGATCTCCAAGCCAATTGGCTATGAGGATCAGAAGTGTCTCAGCTAGGAGGGTTTCTGTATTCCACTTGAATGGGGCGGAGTCTCTGGGTGGGACAGACAAGCTTTGTTGAATCCCACACAATTGGTTACAGGCATGCTCACCTCTTTGGTATAGGTGCAGACAAGCTTTAGATTCATGTCTATCACTCCCTAGGAGAGTCCTATTCACTGCGAACTCAAAGCTAGCCACTGGAGGGCTTCTGTGCTCCGCTTGGATGGGGCGGAGTCTCAGGTGGTGCAGACAAACTTTATTTAGCCCCTTCCTACGAGAGTCTGGTTTCTGAGTCCCGCAGTAATGGCCGCTGGCTTCACACACCTCCTAGAGATCTCTGCCCACTGCCTGGCAGTCTGGCCTCTCCCTGTCTGGGGCCATCTATCAGAGCAAAAGGGTGGTTCTGTTTTCCTCCCGAATAAGAAAGCTAGCCGCCATGCATTAGCTGTCAGCCCTCTTCTCGCGCAGGGAGTAAGCCAGTAGGGAACTCAGCCCGCCCTCTCAGCGCTCCACAAGCAAGCCGGCAGTGAAGTCAGGCAGCTGCCTTTTCATGTGCACATTTCTCTGTACCTTCACAGTTCCTGAGATTCAGTGTGCCTTCTCTCTCCTTCCCAGATGGTAGAGCCTCCTCTCAGCCAGCCATCCGGCGCTTCAGGGCGATGTTTCCCCTGTTTTCCAGTTCTAAATTCAAATTTGTTGTGGTAGGCTATGCCACCATCTTTGTTTTTGCCTTGAAGGATTAATTTTAATTGTGGTTATAATACAGGACGGGGGGGACTATTGACCACTAGAAATGAAGGAAGAATTTACCAAAGAGAGAGACATGAGAGAATTGGCAGGCCAGAAAAGCAGAAGACAGAATGATTTTTTTTTTTTTTTTTGACAAGCAAACAGTGAACTACAGCAGATGTTACACCTTGGTCCTTGAGTTGGGCTAAGAAAAAAAAAAAAATTCAGAGCCAAGAAACTCCAGAACAAACAAAAGTTTATTTAGAAAGTCACAGAGGAAGAGGAAGTGAACCATGCAAGAAGTGAGCCAGCTAGGCTGCATGAACTCAGGAAGCAAGTTACAGAAGCAAAGAAGGGCCCTTGGAGCTTAAGAGAAAGAAAGCAAAGATAACTTTCTTAAAGGAAGAAATGGGGAAGGAAAGGCTTGGGTATGCTCTAGCGCAGTGATTCTCAACCTTTCTAATGCCACGACACTTTATTTTATTTATTTATTTATTTATTTATTTATTTATTTATTTATTTATTGGCTTCCAAAGGGGAGGTTAAGGTCAAAAGAAGTTTTGGGTGTGCCCAGATCCTATTCATCAAAATCTGGGTAATCTCCTTATTTTTTGGTACAAGAATTAGCATATCCAGACATGGGTGAGTCAAGGTCTTATTTGTTCCTTATTCCAAGCACATGGATTAAGAAATCAGTACTGATAAGAGGATTCTGCCAGTGACCTTGGGCTCAGCTGATAAGAATTAAAAGAATGTCCATGTGCCTTCTCAGGTGGCTCTCAACATCTTACCCTTTTTCACTAATTAAAATAAAATTTAAACATCAATAATAGGGCTCTAAAATTAAAAACAATTGCAAACAATGCCAATGCAAAAACTAAACCACATATATGTTATTTTCAAAACTTGAATGTCAAGAGCAAAACTCTGGCTATTAAATAATAACAACAATGCCAATGCAAAACAACAAAATGAGAAATCAGAATTATGGACATATTAATATTTTTGGCTACTAAATGAGTCTCTTGTTGCTGGTGTAGATTTACTTGAACTTGCTGCACAAGACTTTGCAGAAGACTGGAAGCTAACAGATGCTAGCATGACCAGGAACATGATTAAAGAAGTAGCTTCCACTTCAGTCTTTAATTTCTTCAGATGACTCCATGTTGGCACCTCAGTCCCTTGCGTAGCCTTCAGTTTTCTTCTCCCACTTTGCTGTCGTCTGGGCAACTCTCAGTCCTTTGGGTGAAGGGACACAGGAGCTTCTCTGAGTCCATTGTAATGCCACGACACTTTAATATAGCTCCTCATGTTGTGGTGATCCCCAATTATAAAATTATTTTCGTTGCTACTTCATAACTGTAATTTTGCTACTATTATGAATCGTTATGTAAATATTTGTGCTTTCCGATGGTCTTAGGCAATGCTGTGAAAGGGTTGTTTGACCCTCAAAGGGGTCAAGACACACAGGTTGAGAACTACTGCTCTAGAGAGAGAGTGCACCTGAGCAAAAAAGGGGACAGGGAAAGGTATGGTTCTGAGAGAGAGAGAGAGAGACAGACTTGGCCCTTCATATCTAGTTTGATCCGAACTCTCTCTAGGGTCAACAGATCCAAAGCATTGTTCATAAGATTTTTTCATGTGGGCCAAAACCTCATTGTTCTGGGGGTTTAATGCTTAAGGGAATTGTCAGACAACGGCTTATATGGGAGTTGTATGATGCTATTCTCTGGCCCCCTTGTTTCTCCTCTAAGGGTGTCTCCCCATGACTAATAAGATGCCAAGGGATGAAAGGTTAGAGGAGAATCTGAACTTCGTGACTAGAGATATAAAAGGCAAGGAGATCTATATGCATGTCGTCGTCGTCGTCTTCTTCTTCTTCTTCTTCTTCTTCTTCTTCTTCTTTTTAAAAATATATTTTTATTGAGGTTTTACAGAGAGGAAGGGAGAGGGATAGAGTGTTAGAAACATCAATGAGAAACATTGATTAGCTGCCTCTTGCACACCCCCTACTGGGGATGTGTCCACAATCAAGGTACATGCCCTTGACCGGAATAGAACCTGGGACCTTTCAGTCTGCAGGCCAAAGCTCTATCCACTGAGTCAAACCGGTTTTGGCTATGCATGTCTTCTTGCATTGAAATCTGATCTGGCAGGAGTTCCCTCTCTCTGAATATGGGTCTCTGAAAAGCCTCTCTGCTTTTCTGATATTCTACTTTTTTTCTTTTCTCCAGTTTATCCCTCACAGAGGATCTGGAAAATCAGACCTCAGAAATGCTATGGTTGTGTTACATGAGCAGGAGAGAGTATCCCACTGTCAGTAAGCATGTGTGTGAGCATAAGTGTTGGTACAGGACACCCGAAATCAGCCTCTATCAGCAGGTCATGCAGTGACTGTGGGCAAACATCTGACTTCTCTGAGCCTTTGAATTGTTTTCTAAGAAAACATTTTATTTCTGAGACATGAATGCGTGAAGAAAGATGATTTCTAAGTTTGCACTCAGTTAAAATAATTTTTTAGTGCTTTCTATTTCTAAAGATCTTCCTCTTAATACTTCCCACAAAGAAAGATTGGATTTCAGTATAAGGTCTATTTCCATAGTTTTCAAAGAGCCAAAGTTGCTTTTGTGGCAGTATTTACCAATTAATTGCCTTCAGTTTAAATAAAAAACATTCATTGACACAAAAAGGAAGAGAAAACTTCTTATTTACCCCCCACTCCTGCCTTCCTGATTTCCTGGCAAAATGCCAGCAAAAGATGAATTTTTATACCAATATGGAATTTGTATATTTTCATATTAAATGAAATCCACAAACTCCTATCTTTTAATTTACAGAAATTAAATGTCTGTAGAATAGACATTTAAAGCTTTAATTCTATAGCTAAGATGGCACAAAAATAAGCATTGCTATTTAATACACTAATTTATTATATGTTGATTTCTAATAATGTCAGCCTGTCTGTGACTACATCATCAATTCAATGAGTAAATGAAACGTTCAGGAATAGTCTTATCAGAGATCCATAAATTAGAGATAAACTGAGGAATAGAGTTCATAGAACTAGAGGCTCTCATTATTAACTTTGGGAACAATTCAATAGAAAGTAATTATTCAGTTAGAAAAGTTCCAGTATATATTTTTCTAAGTTACCAAATGGGTGGTAAATATTGAGAGATACAAAATAATAAAATTCTTGATAAACAAATAGAAATAAGTTACTTGTATTTTCATGACCTATAAAAACATTGATGTTTTAGTGCATAATTCTCCCCATTTTATCTATGCTATGTATATATTTTTATAAAATATAGGAAATTGAAATATATATATGGCTTCTGGTTCTGCTTTTTTTCTTAAAATGCATCTGGGCTCCTATTAAAATTTAGTTTCTTAACATAGATAGTAGTGAACAAAAATATGTTTACTTTGTATTAATTTATTGAGTTTTATACTTAATTTTGTTCATTTTCTGCTTGTATGATATATTTTATATATATGACAAAAAACTTAATAAAAATATGCATCCTATTTATTTCAAGTCTAAAAATCTATATTACTCTGAATGGCTCTATAGTATTTCTTGTTAGGGATATAGCATGGTCCATCAAACAAATTCCCTATTTTGGATATTCATAACATTTACAACTTTTTATATGTATGTATTCTAAAGTAAAAACCCATCTAGACCTGACGGTGTGGCTCAGAGGTGTAACGTGGACCCATGAACCAAGAGGTCATGGTTTGATTCTATTCAGGGCACATGCCTGTGTTGCAGGCTGGATCTCCAGTGGGGGGTATGTACGAGGCAGCCAATTGATGTTTTTAGCTCCCTGATCCTCTCCATCCACTCTCTCTAAAGTCAATAAAAAATATTGAAAAAACAAACAAACGAACAAACGACATCTAGCCCTGCCTGGGTAACTATTGGTGGTAGCATTGTACCTACTACACAGCAAAAGGTCATGGGTTGGGTTCCCAGTCAGGGCACATACCTAGATTGAGGGTTCCACTCCTCAGGCAAACACCTATAGGAGTCATCCAATAGATGTTTCTCTCTCACATCAACGTTAATCTCTCTCTCTCACTTATTCTCTCTTTCTCTCTCTCAAAAATCAATAAAACCTATCCTTAGGTGAGAATTAAAACAACAAAACATCACACTTGCATTTATATTCTTTTAAAAAATAAATTATTATTAATTTCAGAGAGGAAGGAAGAAGAATAGAGAGAGAGAGAAACATCTATGATGAGAGAGAATGATTGATCCTCTGCCTCCTGCATGCCCCCTATTAGGGATTGTACCTGCAACCTGAGCATGTGCCCTTGACCAGAACCAAACCCAGAACCCTTCCGTCCGCGGGCTGACGCTCTATCTACTGAGTTAAACCCGCTAGGGCTGCATTGATATTCTTGTATCATAAGTCTGGTTCACTGGCTAACAGTCTCTGAGATAAACATTTGCATTCTGGAAGTTTACTGGGAAGTGAATAATTACCTATAGATGGGTCCAAAGGGAACCTAAGTGTGGGTCACGCTTAACTGGATACTTTAGTGGAGGCAGTATAATTCCTGCTTTGGGTGCGAGAGGTTCTGGATTCAAATCCCAGACTAGGCCAGCTTTTAAAACTTACTTTTCCTTCTTCAGGAGTTTCTGAGAAAAGTTCTGTTCCCTGCCAAAGTTCTCCTGTGCCAAACTGTTCTGCAAAGGAGAAGTGCACTGAACACTAAGCAGAAGCAGGCTGGTGACTTGTATTGGAGACGAAATTGCCTGGCTTCCTGGGTTCTGGGGGCCTCTTTGCTCCTGGGAGCAGCAGCCCCTGACCCTTCGGGCTTCTGCAGGCAGGGCGGATGTCCCCATCTTGCAGTCCCAGCTGGCTGCCTCTTGGTGACCCTGTGTCTCCAATGCAGATCTGCAGGAAAGCTCCAGTGCTGGGCAGGGACTCTCCCACTGTGCCTGGGGAGGGGACTGCTGTGGTGCCACCTCCGGAGGCGGAGCCGGGACACTTGGGGTTTTCTCAGAGAAACTGGGCTTGGTACTTACTACCCAAGACCCCCTCACCCTGGTCTCCCCTACACACAGCACCCCAGTCCCCTTAGTGTACACACACGCACGCGGATCCCACGCAGATCCAAAGCAGGAGTCAGAACAGCACCTTCGCGTTTTCTAACAGCTCCCCGTTTTCTTACAAAGGAGGAAGAAGCATGTGAGAAACAAAAACTTCTCTTTCTAAGCCCTGCCCTTTTCTGCAACTTTGTCCCCAGACCAAGATGGGTTCAATTTCTGTTCCTCCTCCTGCTTTGAGTCCTAACTTTACCAGGGCGCTTTGGCCTGGGTAGTCCCTTCTTATCGGAGGTAACTGGACAGGAGTTTGAGGGACCAGACTGGGAACTGAGGAACGAAAGTGAAAGATGAGACCGAGGGCCGAAGAACCAGGACAGAGGCTTTATTAGAAGAGAAGACTCCTGCAAGGCTACCTTCCAAAGGGAGAAAGAGTACAGGGAGAAATAGCACATGTGCAAGGGTGAAGACGCCTTTAAAAAAAATTTTTTTTTATTGATTTTTTTTTTTACAGGAAGAGAGAGGGATAGAGAGTTAGAAACATCGAGTGAGAATAATCAACCAACTGCCTCTTGCACATACCCCTCTGGGAACACGCCTGCAACCATGGTACATACCCCTGACCAGAATCAAACCTGGGACCTTTCAGTCCTCAGGCCGACGCTCTATCCACTGAGCAAAAAACGGTTTCTGCTCTTGTTACATTTTGAAACACAAATGGATAAGCACTTAGATGCACTTTAATAAAACTGTAAAACTTTCTATTAAAAAAGAACCTCATTTTCTGTTTCCTCATAACCTCATTGTGCCAAGTTGAAAATAAAACCATTAAAATGAAAGCAACCATTCACCTTTCACCTACTCTGCACTGTCAGCTGTGTAGGCAGGTTGTGGATTTCCCCAAGGTTGCTCAGTGACATCCTCGAGGCAGAGAAGGGACTTGGCTGTGTTCAGAGGCTGGAGGCTGCTCCCGCAATCATTGCCAAACTAAACCCAGAAGCTTATCTATCTGTGTGAGCTGGGCTGGACTGGTGTTTCAGGCCATGGGACAGTTTGTGTGTGAAGGTGACATTGGAGTGGAGTCCCTTGTCTCTGTTGTTAGGCGAGTCATCAGAGAAGGGTTGTGTTGATCAAGCCATCTTGTCCCCAAAGGCTGAGGGAGGTGGCTGCTGCCTCAGTCTCCTGGGACTGCTGAGGCCCTCAGGGTGTTGGAATGGGCCTGGCAGCATCTCCCCTAACGAGTGACTGGCTGATAACATTTTAGAACTCACTTCTCAGTGTCTCCTGAATAAGTGATATATGATTAATTTAAATTCTGTCCCACTCCAAAAGGGTTTGTCTGCCCACAAAGGACAGTGAGGATTGGGCACTCTGCCAGGTGCCAGTAGAGGCCCCACTCTGAGGATTCCATATCCTGTTACCTTTTTGCTCCTAAAAGACACTGGGCTTTGGTGTTTGGCAGAACAAATGTTCTGGTCAGAGACATACCTGCCCTCCCTCTCCAGAGGCTTCAGTAACCCCGAGGCACAAGTACTGAGGGAAAGCTGTTTATGGCAGTGTGCTTGGTCCTCTGCTCACTACCCCCAGCTTTTCTCCTTCTGGCTCAGGATTTGGTTGGGGATGCAGGCAAGCAGGGAGAAGACAGGGGGAAAGTGAAGCTCAAGCAGTACTCTGTCCCAACACAACTGAAAAGCATGGGTAGTTTGTCCTTTTTGGGTTCTCCATGCTGCCCATGTCACCAGAAATGGACAAGACTGGGTCAGCAGGACTGGGATTTGTGGGGTTTTTTTTATTTCTGCAGGAAAGAATTCAAGTCACAAGCCCAACTGATTTTGAGAGTATGTTTATTAAAGATTGGGAAAGTGACACAAAGGACAAGCTTTGGGTAGAAGGGGCAAGATCACAGTAACAGAAGTGACCCTAGACTGGGCTGCCTAAACTCCTAAAGGGAAGACACAGCAACAGATGTGAGCACAGGCTGGGCTGCTACATCCCTGAGAAGTAAAAATCTTGTTATGGCTGATATCTGGCTGGTGGGAAGTAACAAACCATAAGCACTTAAAGGTTCAGAAAAGAACTGTTTTATTCACACTGATGCTGAGTCCCCACCAGAGGTTGAGCCCTGGGGCTGGGTTCCGACTTTCTTTTATACATGTCTAGTAGCCCTGCGCATGAATCCGTGTGCCAGTAGATCGACAATAGCTCGCCGCTTCCCTCCAATAGCTCTTTGCCCACTGCCCTACCTTCTTGTAGCTCCCTCTGCCCCTCCGCCCACCCTCCCTAATAGCTTGGTGCCCTGCTCTGTCCTGTAGCTCTCCCTGACCCGCTTGTTGCTTGATGCCCTACCCTCCTGCTGATTCGTGATCCGGTCATTATGCGTGTACTCTGAGTGACCATTGCATTTTATATCTTTATGATATAGGATAAGCTTCAGGGTACTCAAAGGGTCTTTCCACACAATGGCAGCCTGGGAGGTTGGCTGATTCAAGAAGCAAGCAAGATTACAGAAGCCAAGGGCATGGTTATGGTGGAGCAACTAAGGGGAGAATTAACTGCTATTGGCTTGCCTTCTCAGTCTGAGTGACAGAAGCCAGCAAGCAGGGGCTGTTTTGGATCACTGAAAAGTTAAAGAAGAGGAGGACCTTGGGAGCTTAGGAGGAAGAAAGTAAAATTATGCACCTGAGGAAAAGGAGGCAAGGGTGTGCTCAAGGGAAAGCATTCACTGGGTCCATTGTCTTGAGGATTTTTATGTGTTTTTCTATAGAGAGGAATTTTAGTGGAGGTCAATCAAAATACCGTATTTTTCCATGTATAAAACATTATTTTTAAAAATATATATTTTATTGATTTTTTTTACAGAGAGGAAGGGAGACGTTTCTAAGACATGATTTTTTTTTCTGAAACCGTTAGACTGAAAATCGAGGAGCACCTTATACACGGAAATCAGACAAGGAGAGAGCCTCATGGGTCGGTAGCTGCCCATTCCTTGTCAAACAGCTTCCTCCAGTCACTAGCCTTATTGTTACTGACATCAGCTGATGCTGTGATTGGAAGTGAAGGTGCAGAATGTGCAGATGCAACAGGGACCAGAGTGTTCTGAGCCTATGAAGTTGCCAAAAACTAAAAAAATAAATAAATAAAAATGTGTTCTGTTTTATGTTTAAAATATTGATTTCTTAATTTGGGTTTGGAAAAGTGGGGGTATTTTACACAAGGGGGTGTATTATACATGGAAACATAGAGTACTCATCAGCTTTTTAGGCATATCTTTTAATATGCTTATGTATCAAATGAACTTACAGTGGGGTTTAAGATCATTCTCTCAAAGAGTGATGTCTGATTAATTTAAAATAGGTCCCACTCTCAAATAGCTTGTCTGCCCACAAGAAGAAAGTGAGGATTTGGGCATGCTGCTAGGTGTCAGTAGAAACCCCACTCTATGAACCCCCTATCCTGTTACCTCTCTTTGCCCTAAAAGACATCAACTTTGAATAAGAGACATAGAAAAACATTTTAGAAAAAGGAGAATAACTTTCAAGTTAAGCTGTCAGAACATTTAAAAAACATATGAATATATTTTTCATATATTTTGTCTCTATCTTGGATTTGTTTGGCTCTAATTGTGTTTTTGTTGTTGTTTGTTTTTTGTAGGTTTTTTTTGTTTTGTTATTTATTCCTCTGACTTCATTTGTTCTTGGGTTTTGCACTAATGGCACCACTGGGTCTCTGTTACCTAACTCCCTGAGTAGGATGATTTTAGCTACTCTCTGGTTGGTTAGGTGTCCTTCCCTAACCAAGGACACATGCTTCTAAATGTCCTTGTTAGGCATGATATGTTACAGAAGACCAGAGAAAAACAAAACAACTCTTAGAGAGATGGAATTATACTTTATTATTATTATGCACAGACCGAGAGAAAACTGTATTTCAAATTCTGGGCCCCAACATGAAGGAATTTTCCCTATTAATATTTGTTTTACCTTCTTTGTCTCCCAAATATGGGGTTTTTCCGGTCCCCTTTGCAAGTTCTTAAAGAGCCCTATGTGCTGGGGCTTTGAGACCTCAACCAAAGGCTTGGCCTGGTGCCAGCACTGATAACTTCATCTAGGGAAGGTTTATGGCCCCTCTAAAGTGGGTGTAGTCTTATTTTCCTTATTATTCAAGCAAGCAAGCATTTACAGAAGCCAAAATAGCAGGGTTACACTTTTAAACAGCAATTTTTATATAAGATGGATGCTTCAGATATAGTCTTATGATTTATTAGCTGTCTGTTTATTGTTTGGTCCTTTGTTTAAATATTTTACTCTGTTGTCCTCATTCTACTTGGCAGATAATTTCCCTAGTTTTTTATTAACCTGCTTCACCCACTTCTCTTCCTCCTTAAGTCCTCAGGCCCTTCCAGGGACCAAAACTGCTCCTAAGACAGGCTCTAGAGCACATGCCCAAGCACGTGTACCCCACTGGCAGCTGTTTAAAGGGTTAATCTCTCCAGGAGAGGGTGCTTTGGAACAGGCACCAATGCCTCCAAAGTGAAGGCATATCCCTGGGTTTTTAGGATTTATCAGTAAGCTGGAAGCAGAGCTTTCCTGGGACTCTTGGAAGCTTTCCTACTCTACCTGCCTTGTTTGGCAACCACGACCAAACCCAGTTGTGCTGGTGAGCCCTGAGAGAAACCAGGGGAATTTTCATGGTTAAGGTCCCCAAAGTGAGATCAGAGAATGCATTTTCAGACCAGGAGGGATAATACAAAGACCTTTGGGCCTAGGTGTCAGCCACTGATTTAGAAATTAAGACTATAGAGATGATAAGACACTTATTCTTCTTTCAAAGGGTTCTATCCAATGGAGAGACAATGAGATCAAGTAACCATCTCAGGAGTGATGCTTGTCAGTGGAGATAATCAGTTTTGCAGCTCTGCCACAAGGAACAGAATACTGGGGACTCCTGGTTAGTCTCTTGTGGACAGCTAAGGATGAAGTAAGGAGAAGCCCAGGAAATAAGGCAAGGATAGTTCTGAGGGTTAGTGGCTGGGAGGCTGAGGTCAAGTAAGTGGGTACTAATAGCTGTCACATAACTTTCTCTACAAGTGCTTTCCTGGTTCTGTGAAATCTATGAATAACCTACTTATTGGCATGGCTTCCTTTCATGAAACTAAATTATGTGGGTAAATTGACAGTGCAGGGGAACAGCATTCTGCTGGGAGACCACATTTACTCTGTGGGGTTCTTCTAAGGCAGTTCTTGGAGTTGGCCCATAGACCAGAAACAACATCTTCTGGGTCCAGATCATGTATTTGAACAATGAAACCTTGGTCCTATCATGGGCAAGAGTAAGAACCACAGACATCAGAAAAAGGGCAGCTTTGGAACAAAGGGCCTCGCTTACCACATCAAACATTGCCTCAAGGAACAACTCTTTACTCCACTCCAGTGGGTGAATATTTGACCTAGTCATTGCGAAGACAATTCCCTTGTTTGCCAAGGTCAGGGTTCTTGGCTTCCTTATCTCTGCCAGGATTAATGTTCCTTGGAACTAGTTTCCCCACCCAGTTCATTTGCTCACTATATAATGAGAACCAGAAGCGTCCAGGAACAAAGAGCTGGAAACCATCTTCAGTTGGAGCGACTCTTCCAGATTTTTGTAAGATTCTTACCCCTGGGTAATCTATCGCTATACTTTTTTCATATATACATATTATTTCTAGCCACTTAGCTATTTCAATGAAACAATCCCCCTCACCCCCCCTTTAAAGCCTATGGGCCCAACTTATGAACTAAGAAAAAGTGAACCAGATTCTAAAGTTTAAAATGAAAGTAGATTTCTTTTGGTAGTGTGTGTGTGTGTGTGTGTGTGTGTGTGTGTGTGTGTGTGTAAAGGGGAAATCCTGGGGAAGACATTTGCTGAAGGGCATCTGGATGGTCACAGTGAACAGGCATTAAATGTGGCAGAGCAAGAAAAGAAACAAAAAGAGTGCTTTTAGTCCTTTTCTTCTAATCTTCTCTACTAATTTTTTTTACTTAAAAAAAGTTTTTAAAAAATATATTTCTTATTGATTTTTTTTTTACAGATAGGAAAGGAGAGGGATAAAGAAGGAACATTGATCAGCTGCCTCCTGCACACCCCCTGCTGGGATGTACCTACAACAAAGGTACATACCCTTGACTGTAATCGAACCTGGGATCCTTCAGTCCACAGTTTGATGCTCTATTCACTGAGCCAAACCAGTCAGGTAAAGAAAAGAAAAAAAAAAGTTTTGATTGCTCTTTAAGAGCCAAATGGAATACATCCAAGATCAAAAGAAGGTACACTGGCAGGTTGAAGGGAAGTAGAAGGAAAAGAGATAAAGGGAGGAGTATACATTGGGTGTTAATGCTTTTCGCTTTGAGGGATATTGTCCTAAAATAGGAAGCTACATGTATGGAAATTATAACTACAGTTACTCATCATAGACTTTAAGTTCCATGTGTGTAAAGTTGAACAAATCTCATGAATAAAAAACATTGCCTGTGGATAGAGGAAGAGAATATTCATTCTTGTGAAGATTAAAGGCTGGGTTTGAGACAGATGATAAAGTTAGTCTGAAGAACAGTTGTGATATATTTCACTGACAAAATGCTGACTTTGGAAGGTTGAATATGGAAGGTTATGTGTGAGTGAATTTGACCACCAGATGTGAAGCTCTAAACCCTTGACCTAGGGCAGATTCACTTCAGTAGCACAAATAATCTGTCTCATACTTGTTTTCTCCAAAACTCATTTTACCTCGTTAGGGGAAATTTAGGATTGAATATATGAGTGAGCCAGTTGTGAGTTGGGGAGCAGATATTCTATACTGGTGGCATTTTGTGTACTGGTTGGGCTTTGGTTTCTGGATATTTTAGGTATTTAAGATTATAATAAGCCTGAGCAAAATTTACCTAAATTATTATAGAATTAATGTGCAAATTCTGCAAGTTCAAACCAAAGATTTTCCTTTACCTCTCCAGACTGGGATGGGAGGCCTTTAATCTCTACTAGCAAGTGGCTTTGTAGGATATGAAGCCCTTGTGTGGCATCAGTCCAGGGCCTTATTAGAGGTGGTCTATGGGCTTGATTTATCCATTGAACCTTAAGAAATGATACATCTCAGTGAGATTGAGTCTCAGGTCTTCTTATCATCTATTTCTTTTTCAAGGTGCCTTCAACTATCAACTAAATTTATACAAACTTGTCTCTGTAATTCCACTAGACTTTTGCTAGTTAAACAGAAAAATATTCTCATGCTTAAAGAGAACCATGGAATTTTATATTTCATTTTTAAAAATAAATCTTTATTGTTCAGATTATTAGATTATTATAGGTATTCCCCCCCCCCCCATAGCTCCCCTCCATCCAATTCCCCACCCCACACCCTGCCCTTACCCCCCAGTACTGTCTTCATCCATAGGTGTAAGACTTTTGTCCAATCTCTTCCCACACCCCTCAGATCCCCTTCCCCCTGATAATTTTTTAAATATATATATTTTATTGATTTTTTACAGAGAGGAAGGGAGAGAGATAGAGCTAGAAATGTCGATGAGAGAAAAACATCGACCAGCTGCCTCTTGCACACCCCCTACCGGGGATGTGCCCGCAACCAATGTACATGCCCTTGACCCGAATTGAACCTGGGACCTTTCAGTCCACCGGCCGACACTCTACCACTGAGCCAAACAGGCTTTGGCCCCCCTGATAATTTTCAGTCCACTTCCTTTCTATGTCCATGATAGCATTATATTCACCAGACTTTTTATTCACTTGGTTTTTAGATTCACTTATTGGTAGCTATGTATTTGATGTCCTTTTGTTGTTCATAATTTTTATCTTTACCTTTTTTTTCTTCCTCTTCTTAAAAAATATCCTTCAACATTTCATGTAATCCTGGTTTTGTGGTGATGAACTCCTTTAGCTTTTTCTTGTCTATGAAGCTCTTGGTCTGACCTTCAATTCTGAATGATAGCTTTGCTGGGTAGAGCAATCTCAGTTGTAGGTTCTTGCTATTCATCACTTTGAATATTTCTTGCCACTCCCTTCTGGCCTGCAGAGTTTCTGTGTAGAAGTCAGCTGACATTTGTATAGTTACCATGTAGGTAACTAACTGTTTTTCTCTTGCTGCTTATAAAATTCTCTCTCTGTCTTTTGCCCTTGGCATTTTAATTATGATGTATCTTGGTGTGGTCCTCTTTGGATTCCTCTTGTTGAGGTTCAGTGCGCTTCCTGAACTTGTAAGTCTATTTCTTTCACCAGGTGGGGAAAGTTTTCTGTCATTATTTCTTCTAATAGGTTTTCAATATTTTGCTCTCTCTCTTCTGGCACCCCCAAAATTCAAAAGTTGGTACTCTTAAAGTTGTCCCAGAGGCTCCTTACATTATCTTCATATTTTTGGATCCTTTTTTCTTTTTGTTTTTCTGGTCAGGTGTCTTTTGTTTCCTCGTATTTCAGATCTTTCATTTGATTCTTGGGGTACGGTGATCTACAGTTGAGTTTCTGTAATTCTTTACTTCAGACAGTGTATTCTTAATTTCTGACTGGTCCTTTTCCTTTTTTCCTTTTTCTTCTTCTTCTTCTTCTTTTTTTTTTATTTTTTTTTTTTATTTTTTGCACTCTTATTAAGGTCCTTGAAGGTCTCTTCAAGTTTCTCAGCAGTTTTTAGAAGATTCTTGAGTAACCTTATAAATATGGTTCTGAACTCCATGTTGTCCTGTAGATTGCTTTCCTCCATTGCCCCCTTTCTCAACATGCCTCTGTGTCTCCACATTTTGGCTGCTTCCCTGTGTGGATGGAGTGGCTTTGTGTGGTAGGTGACCCATAGGGGCCAGTAGCTCAGCCTCCCTAATAACCCAAGGTAGACAGTCTTGATACACCCCTTTGTGGGCTGAGTGCAAAGTTTTGGTGTAGTTAAGCCCTGATTGCTGTTGGTACCCTGGGAGAAATTTTCCTCCAGGCCAATTGGCTGTGGGGACCCGCTGTGTTTATAATGAAAGAACTGCTGTGCTGGAGTCATGTTTATGGTGTAGGACTTGTTTCAGTGGGTATTTGGTGCTCACTGAGTCTGCCTCTTGAATGTGTCAGTTATGGATGTGAGGACTTGAAATCTGTGTTTCATACTGACCTCTAGGTACACTGACTTCTGGAACTCCAATGGGGTGCAGGTCAGCACTATCTGAGGTCACCCTGCAGGAGCTATAGGAAGAACTACAGTCCTCTCCTCCCTGCTAGGGATTTGTAGATTATGGAGCAGTCAGAACCAGTTTGGTTTTCAAAATAGCAGGGATAGTAAAGGCCATTTATATGCAAAAGCAGCTGCTTGGAGCTTGGGTGTGTTTGTAGATTGTGCAGGGTGGAGTCCCAGGGCATCACTAGGCTAGGGCCTTGCAAACAGAAATGGCTGCCAGTCAGCTGTCCCACTCCTCTGACCATGTTCCTGTGTCTCACACCCAAGTGTAGCAAACAATCATTTCTGTGCACAGCTCTGCAAGCCAACCACCCTCACTTTCCAACCCAATGGCAGAAAGTCCAGCTTCTCTCCATAGAAGTTTGGGTCTTGTGTGTCTCCCCTTCGGGTTGAAGAAAGCAATGCCTGCCACCAGCCGCTTAAAATGAAATGTCATGTGACAGGCAAGTCAATCTGTATCTCAAGTGAATCATTTGAGGAATTGAAGTGCTGGTCAACTTTGCAAGGAAAAGAAAACAAAACCCTCAAATGCCCAAGCCCTTCGAAGATGGTGATATGCAAGGAAGAGAATTTCAATCAATGTGAAGAGAAAATTTTTCTATAGGAACATAGCATAAATTCTGGTAGCTGAGATATTTCAACTTAAAAAAAAAAAAACAGCCTTCTAATTTTGAAGAAATACTGGTACTCTACACAAAATGAAAGAGGGGAATAATAATATATACAACTTTATGTTATTCAGATTGAAGGAAAAAAGGAAACCAAGAAAAATAGAAATTGCAAAAGTGATCATTACCAATAGTTACTGAGCACTTACTGTGTACCTGGCATTATGATAATCACTTAATATTGATTTTATCATTTATTCCTCATAACATCCCTAAGATGTAGGTAGTATTATTATACTCACTAATGAGGAATAACGCTGAGTGAGGTTAAGTAATTTTCCCAAGATCATGTAGTTAAAGTGGCAGAGCTAGTTCTTTGGGATCACAATATCAAAAGAAGTTCTTATTGAGAATCAATGTGGCAAAGTGGAGGAAGCTTTTGGGACAAGCTCTGACCAAAAAGTATGTGTTGGGATGGTTTGGGGATCAATTCATTTTCTGTTCCAGCTAGAGACTTGAAATACACTTATTGATGGCTACATTGAACTTCTGATGGCAAATATATGTTGATGGCTTATTAAATCAGTTTGTTATTGTGGCAGAGGCTGTGGATTTGCTCTTGCATAAATAATTTAGATCTTCTCTGTAGCCAATTTCTTTTTAAATCATATCTTAGACACCAAAAAGCAGGATGAGAAAAAGTTAGACAGTCCCAGGCAAAATCAGAAGTGCAAGATTAACCATGTAAGATTAGATTTGGGGAAAATAACCAAAGTACATTGTTGTGATGAAGCTATTATTCAAATGCTAAGTGTACCTTCAGAAATTCTATCCATTAGTCTTAGAATGAGGAGTTAATCAAGCATCATTTCTCCCAGTTACTCTTCTTCCCACACTGTTCCCTTCTCTGTCATCCTAAGTCCATATCTCATATCTATACCTGTAGGCACTGAAATGTGACTTAGAGCTTTCTAGCTTTTGTATACAAGCAAAATGTGGCTGTGACTATAGGAGATAGCATTTTAAAGAATGAAGTTATGTTTGAAACTGGTATGCAGATCCCTCATCAGCCATTTCAGTCACCCAGACAGTGTGACCTGCCATCATGAAGCAGCATGTTTGAAAACAAAGGACAGTAGTATCCATATACATCAAACCAGGACTTCAGCTACAATCAGCGCATGGACTGCATATGTAGAAATGGGCCTGTATAACCTGGGGTTGGTGAGGGATTCTCATTTCCATTCTTACCTTATTCCACCCCTGATTAAACTCTGTTGCTAGAGAGAAGCAACTCTGAACATAAATGTTTTGAATATCCTGAATATTTGGGGAGTGGAAAGAGAGAGGCAACAGAAGATGTGGAAAAGCACCGATTTTAGAGTCAGATAGATCTGGGTGTCTTTCTCTACTCAGTCAACAGAAGCAATACTCTGACACTATATGGAAATGCTTTCTTTGTTGTGTCTCTGAAGGTTTTTGTTTTGTGTTTGTGTTGTTTTTAAACTCTATTAAACATGTTTATTTTCCACTGCCAAAAGTGCCAACAAAAGGATTCTGCAAGTAGAGACAACAGAAGACTAGCAACAGCTATTGAGAAGACAGACAAAACATCAAGGATACATGCATAATGATGGAATATATCACCAGGGCCTAGTTTTTGGTTGTGCATAGCAGCAAGGAAAAAAGACAGTCTAAATCCCCTTTTGTGGCAATTGTGCTATTGAGATTTATTTTTTAAAAAAATTTATCAGTCAATTCTATAAGTTATTTTGTTTCATTCATTCGCTCGTTTTGTTTATTAGTTCTATCAACCAATATTTACTATCTTCAGAGAACTTTGGCTGGATACTCTGTGGTTTTTTTGTTGTTTGTGTTTGTTTGTTTGTTTTTTGTTCCATAGGTTTAACAAGATTTCAAAAAAGACTTGATTTAATATCATTAAAAGAATGCCAACTGGGTGAAAAAGGTGAAGGAATTAAGAAGCACAAATGGCCAGTTTTAAAAATAGCCATGGGAATGCCAAGGAAATACAGTCAATAATGTTGTAATAATGTTGTATGGTGTCATATGGGTGCTAGACTTATGTGGTTATCATAAGCTATATATTGTAAATCAGTGTGTACTATACCTGTTGTATAGTATGTCAACGGTAATTAATTTTTTTTAATTTTAAAAACGAATAGACACATGAAAGGAAAGGCTAATCCTAAACATTACTCTCTCCTTTTTCCTACAACTTCTTCAATTCCCAGATGTCAGGAATTAAAACCAGTTCACAAACTTTCATTGGCATATCCTGTATATCCAAACCTTTGGGAATCAGAGTCTCCAGGGAACTGAACACTCTTTAGAAATCACATGAGTAGAGAATTTTCTCAAGTTACAGACAACTCCAGTGTCATTTAGATCTGCCTTTTCACATCCTGGCAATATAGGACACACCTGGGCTTCCACCTGTTCAGTCTCTGCCCTGAGTCATTGTACTGGCTACAGCCCTGTCTCTCTATATAAGAAAAGCTCTTGCTTTCAGAGAAGATCATATTTACAAACATTTTACTCTTTGGGAAGCAATGATGAGAAAAGTTGTGAGCAGAGAGGTGAAGAGGAAAGAGTAGACTATAGAGTTGAGGAAATATCAACTTGCCATTCTCACCACCTCTCTCTGGTGCCCACTTGTTATCTTCCTTTCTCCTTCCCCTTGTTTTCTCTCCAGGCACCTCCAAGGCAGTGATGGCTCTCCAGAAGACCCTTTCATTGCTTCTGCTCCTGTTGGTGACCCTGCTGGGGCTGGGGCTGGTGCAGCCCTCTTATGGCCAGTCCATGTACCAACGATTCCAACGGCAACATGTGGACACTAAACAGAGAGGTGGCACCAGTTCTTACTGCAACAAGATGATGCAAACACAGGGGATGATGAGGCCTACGTGCAAGCAATTCAACACCTTCATCCATGCAGGTATCAAGGCCATTAATAACATCTGTAGGCACTCCAATATCCGGTGCAAGAATGGCAAGATGAACTGCCATAAGGGTGGAATGAGAGTCACAGACTGCAAGCTTACAGGAGGTTCCCCGGGAAACTGCAAATATCAGGGCAGGGGCAGCTTTAGGAGTGTTGTTATCGCCTGTGATGGTAAACCCCTGGTGCCTGTGCACTTTGATGGATAGATGCTACCCTGAAGCAGTTATGGCCCTATGTTGACCTTTTACTTACTCCTTCAATAGCAATGATTAATGCATTTGAGCTATGTCTACTTCTTTTTCTCTATACAATCCATTCTGTTAAGTGCATCTAAGAGAAATGGAGACATAAACGTATAATGGGACTGGGCTTTCTGTAATAAAATTTTCTATAAACTCCTGCTTCCTTTCATAATACTAATCAGCTTAGCTCTCTCAAATTCTATCCTCTAGAATTTCATCAATATATATATGATATTGAATTTCACACATTTTAAGGTATTTCCATCTTAGTTATCTCATTTTAATACCACCGCACCCCTGTGATGTTCATGTTGTTACAAAAGGTGCCCAAAGTTAAAGGATTTGCTGAAGAACATGAAGATAGTGGAAAAGATGAAACAAAAAAAAATCCATTAAAAAAATCAATTTCAATTGGCTATTAATCAGGCTTTTTCCTACTTCATCACAGGGAGTGCTTTAAAAGTAACTGCTTTTTGATATTCTCAAAATTCAGCTGTTGGGGCAAGCATTAAACATTTAGAAATATGAATAGACAAAATGAGAGCTCTGTCTGAATAATTTGGCAGTCTTGTTATGTTTGTATCTAGTAAGGTTAAGAAATTATACAGGAACTTTCTTTTTCTCTTTACAAACTTTTGAATCATAGTAGTAAGTTAGAGTGTTAACAATGTACTAGATCATTAAGACTCATTCTCTCTTCCTGACTCGAAAGATTTTTCATGTTTTCTTTGTAATAAAGAACTCAAACTACAGATATCTGTGAAGATGATGCTGTGGTTCTTGTGTGAGATTTCTTTTCTTTTACCCTTTTTTAATTCTTTTCTAGTTTATAAACATGAACAAATAGCTTCATACCTTCATAAACTGGCCCATAATTAAAACCTATTGGATCAATGACCACAACACAGAAATATTTGTGTCATTTACTAAAGACAATTCTTACACCCTTCCCTTTTCCCTTTGATTATTTTGAAACAAATTGGAGAACAGAGATGTATGAAGACACTAGCATCTAAAAGTGGAAGTATGTATGTGAATATGAGTGTGTGTTGTGTGTGTGCATGCACGTGTGTGTGTGTGTGTGTGTGTGTGCATTGAAAGAATTAAACTGAAAATATTTGAATTAAAGCAAATATACATTGTTTATATTTAAGGTGTGCTACCTCATTCAGTATACTAGTACATATGCATTGTGGAAGAATCACTGCAATCAAGGTAATTCACCTATCTGTTACTTCACATGATTACCAAAAGTGACCCCATTTTGGACTGCTTTCTACTCTATTCTTTCAACACTACTGATCATCATAGCTTAGTCCACCTATTTCTTCTGACTACATGTAGCTTTCACACCATTGTAAAGTTAAAAAATCCTAGGCATAAAAATCCTATATAATAAAAGCATAGTATGCAAATTGTTCCCTGGACCGGAAGTTTGACCAGGAGGTAAGGCCATCTGGGTCAAGGAAAGGAGGCCCTGTCCTGTGGCAGCAGGTGGCTGGGGAAGAGTGGGAGTTCCTGGTCCACAGCTGAGCCACTAAGGACCATACCAATGCATGGATTTCCTGACCTTGTTTCAGAAAACTGAAGAAGAATAAAGCAATACTTAGAGAGATGGAGTCACATTTATTTGGTGTGGGTCCAGAGGAAAATGTCTCTGAAATTTTGGGCCCCAACATGCAGGAATTCTCCCTATTTATATATTTTTATCTTCTTTGTCTCTCAAATATGGAGTGTTTCCAGCCCCTTTTGCAAGTTCTTTAAGAGCCATATGTGCTGGGCCCAACCTAGCCTGGAGCCAGCACTAATAACCTTGTCTGAGGAAGGTTTAATGTCCTCTCTGAGGTGGGAGTAGTCTTAGCAAGCAAGAATTTACAGGAGCCAAGTAGCAGGATTAAAATTTCAAACAGCAGTTTTTTATATAAGATGGATGCTTCAACCAAGTCTTCTGGTTCATAAAAAAAATAATAATAATAGAAATAAATAAATAAATATAAATAAATAAATAAATAAATAAATAAATAAATAAATCATGGATCATTTTTGCTAATCCATGTCACCAAACTAAAACTTAATAACTAACCAAATTTCAGCCTCTTTCACAGATGAAATTTAAACTAATCAATTTAGAATTACCTGATCAGCATTGGTGAATTAATATGGCTGATAAGACCCTCTGCCTTCCCCTAAATGAAGGTGTCCTTGCTTAAAATAATTTAGCCTTGCTGAAAGCGTTTTGGCTCAGTGGATAGAGCGTTGGCCTGCAAACTGAAGGGTCCCAAGTTCAATTCTGGTCAAGGACATGTATCTTGGTTGCTGGCACATCCCCAGTGGGGGGTGTGCAAGAGGCAGCTGATCGATGATTCTCTCTCATTGATGTTTCTAACTCTCTATCCCTCTCTCTTTCTTTCTGTAAAAAAATCAATAAAATATATTAAAAAATAATAATAACTCAGCCTTTTAACTATGTAGTCCCACCCTTTTTCTGCCTGTAAAAACCCTCCATTTTGTACAACTCACCAAAGTGTCTTTCTAGTTGCCAGATGGCATGCTGCCCAATTCCTGAATTGCTTAATAAAGCCAATTAGATTTTCAAACTTACTTGGCTGAATTTTGTTCTTTAGCTCTTTCCCCCAGGGCCTTGCCATTTCTTTGTACCCAGAAGACTGCCTTTGATGTATGACCCCTTTGCTTCAGGCTCTTCTCAGACTGACCCCCAGTGTTCTAGATGAGGAGATAAACAGGTGCACAGAGTAAGGATGTCCCTTCTTCCCCCACCACCACTGTCAATCAGTTGGAACACTCCCCCTCCCACATCTATTCCTTTCTTCACTGCCTCAGACTTCTTAGTTCTAAGAAAAGGAAAAGGACACTGACTCTGCTCTTCAGATTCACACATTAATCCCCATGGACCTGTGAACGTGAGCATGAAATCTGAATAGGGCAAGTTAGAGTTAGAAGGGCTGGTACTGAGCATGGCTGGGGAAAAGGCCCAGGAACACTGGGATGGGGCTTGTTTGTGTAAGAATGAAAATGTTTAAAAGCTGTCTCTGTTATCTCAACTCCCTAAGGTCCCACCCCCACCCCCATCAGTGATGGGAACAGGACCCTTAAAGTTGTCTCAGAAAACAGCCCCCAGCAGGGAGTAGAGGGAGCAATGTTTGCTCCAACAAGATAAGAGAAACAGGATAACAGAGTAAACTTTGCTTTGACAGTTAAGTGAAATAGGGTATGAGATTACCAGAATATGTTATTAACGAGCCCAGCACCCCTTTTAGAATTCCTTTGTTCCTCTCTTCCCCTCCATGTGTAACCCCTCCCTGAGGAAATGGAGAATAACTGACCTTGCCTGGAGGGTAGAAAGTTGCTACTAATCCCTCCTGGGCCTGAAGGCCAAATCAACAGTCTGGGGTAGATAAGGCTGAAGGCCAAATCAGCAGACTGTTAGTTTAGGCTAAACAAACAGAACAAACCAAGAAGGGAGATTAGGCCATCTGGCCAATGCATGCAGCCATAGAAACGACCTCCACCCCCTTTCTTTGAAATGTATATAAGAAGCTGGATTTGGGACTGCGGGCTGCTGTTTGCCGCCTGCTCCATCCTGGCGGTGGCAGCCCAGATTCGAATCTGTAATAAATTTGTAATTAGACTCTGCAATTGGCTAGTTGGAGTTATTTCCCGGGTAGGGGGGCTCTGCCTCTTGGGTGGTCTGGGCTCCATTTAACAGTTTGACCTTCTCAGTGGTAGAGTTGAGAAGGTCAAACAAGCCCCTCCCAGTGATCCATGTGAGAAGCAAAGACCTGAATTTAACTCAGCATTAATCTTACTAACTCACACCTCCCTTCCTCCTCAATATTTTCAAGCATAATACATTGAAGTAGCTTGAATCGTAGTCTTCTCATCCTGTTTAGGCCATTTGAGCTAGGGATAAGGTGCCATAAATGAGAACATGCCTATTTCTTGTTCTGTGCCTGATAGAGCACTTGAGATCCCAAAAGTTCTCTTATGCAAATCCCATTAGTCTCTCACAGGTCTGTAAAGGAGCTACTATTAGGCCCATTTGAGGACACCAGTTCTGAGATATTGAGAATTAGGTTAGAGTTTCTGTAGGGCCAGGTTAACTCCTTGTGCTAACAGAGGACAGGGAGCTGGTTTAAAGTGGAAACTTTTTCAAACATCTCTAGGCCCTGATTTTGACCAGAGCAGTTCCTGTGAGAGCAGTTTCAATCTTGGTATTGGTTGCTTAAAACACTATTTCCTTTTGATGGTATTCTTAATGGAAAATCAAGATGATTCAGTAAGATGATAATTAGGCAAATGGTCTCTGGGAAGGCAAGTGGGCAGTCAGAAGTGCTACCGTGTTTCAGGCAGCCATTGGGGAAGTGCTATGAGGAAGTCAAGATGAGATAAGCCCCACTTTCAGTGTCCGTTTTAATTGCAGCCTGGGATTTCAGGGAGCCAAAGCCTTCCTGCTTGGGAATGTTTCCCAAGTTTACTCATCTTCTACATTCTTTTACATTTTTTCTATTTCATAGACATAAAATTTTAAACACCATTCGCTTTCAGAAACATTCTCTTATGAGAACACATCTGGACTGTAAAATAGAGCTAGTTAGAATGCTCCTTGTTTTGTGTGAGGAGGTGTTTGGAATTCTCAAAATAAATTTCATCTATTTTCTACAATTTTGTGCTTGTCTCACTCAGGCTCTAGCATATTTTCAATTCTTGTAAATTTTATTATCTAATGAGATTTATCATCTTCTAGTCTGGAACCAAATGGTAAAATTGAGCCTAAGTATCTACATTGGCAGGGAAAGGAATTTTAAAGTGGAGCTCAGCTCAGGGCAGTACTGCAGTTATGTTTTCCTCTCTCTTCCGGGGAGACCTGCAGATGATCCTGGTGACTGAGATGTCCTCCTCTCTGAAAGTCCTAGGTTCTCTCTTATTCCTGCTGTTCCCCTTGTGTGGGCTCCACGTACACAGCCAGAACCTTTCCTGGAAGGAATTAATGAAACAGCACCTCTTGAGCACAAGCTGGGAATTCAATGAGTACAGATGCAATGATCTCATGAGAGGAAGAGAAGCTCCAAAAGACAGGAACTATCACATCTTCTTCTATACCTTCCGGCACAAATCAAGCATATATGCATCAGGAACCGGAGAGATTGCTACAGAAATGTATACTAGTATATATGGGCCCAATATTATTTCAACGTAATCAAGTGTTACCGGAGGAATAACAAAAAGGGCTACAAAGAGCACAGGAGCCACAGCCACATTGAATTCCATTGTGGCATGAATGGGTTTACTGATAGCATAGAGGACATCAGGTTGTTAGAGGTTATTAGTAACTTCTACCTGCACCCCCTTGTTTTAGTAGAGTGATGAGTGTTTCCCAAGTAGTGGACCTTGCCCACATCAATAGCCCTTGCTGATCATTACTTTGCATTTATGTGCTAATGTTTTCCAACTATTTAGAGTTATGTGTCACATGGTTTCTTGATATCATAACTTAACCTATATTAGTTCTCTGCCTGGATATCCTCTGTTGTCATTTACCTGCTCTACTAATATATATATATATATATATATATATATATATATATATATATATATATATATATATAATTTTTTTAAAGATTCAACTCACATGGCATCTCTTTTTTACTAACCCAGGAATTTTCTTGATTTGATTCCTTACACCTATCCAAGCTGAATGATCCTCCATGAACAATAAATTAATCATTCTAAT